CTGATGCGCAGTTAATTGCAGTTGGCTAGTCTGAAGGAGCTGAGTAGGGGAGTCACGAGGGAGAGCCACTTGGAAATTGCAGCCCTGAGGAGGAGCAGGTCTAACTATTTTACACAGCTGAACTGGCAGGAGATTTAAGGCTTTCTCAAACATACATGAAAGAATCAAGGTAACACTCCAGGTATGTTATATCATGTTATAGCATTATAACATGCTGTAAAGCTCAAAAAGAGTGGATTTTACATAGTATTGCTCCTTTAAATACAATTGTGGCTCTGGATGACAATTTTAAAATGCTACTTATTATTATAACCTTTGTTCTGTTTTTTTTCTTCATGTCAGACAGCTTTTTTCACTATAATTTGATTTTTGTTGGTTTAGTAAATCAAATACTGTAGGTTTTGACAAACTATGAGTTACAATTTATTTCTTAACACTATTCGGGGTACATTATATTCCTCCTAGGATGCAATCCATTCATTAATTTGAATATATAGCATTTGTTAACTCTCTAAAACTGGAATAATTACTACTTTAAAATCACAATAATCAAAACATCATTCTGTAATAATTACTCCTAATTGGCCTTGATGGACAAAGGAAAACAGCACTTGAAGACAAAAGAAACTGTTGTAGTAATGTAACTGCTGATAATGTGTACTTTTCTGGAAACAGAGACAAACAACCTGGAAACTGAACGACGTACTTCTGTGATCTCCACACGTTGTGGCTGAGATCATGTGTTGTGAACAAATCAGGATGCTGATGTTATGCTCTGCTGTAGCACAAAGCCGACTATTATAAGATGCGTCTGTGTCATCCCCACTGAAGACCGGGCTCTCTCCCTGTCAGTCACTGCAAAAGCCGGACATTTACTCCTGCAGTATTTGTCAGTCAGGGTTAAGTAAAACTAACCACTGGCTGCATCCTGGCAATGTTGGCCAGGTGATTATACAAGTGAATACAATTTCTCCTTCCAAACAAACAGCCCACGATCCATAGAAATCTCACCAGGACGCCTTCTGTTTTTGCTGTTCAGAAATACTGGTCCGACTGGGAAGGGCTCAGAACAGCACCTGGGTAACGTACATTAAACACAATAGAATAACTGCTGTTGTTGCATCCGAATCAAAGCCATTATTAGGTCAAACATGTGATTCAGAACAGAACTGCAAGTCAACATGTTTGGATGTCGCTTATGAGCTCATCCACCTTGATAGCAACAAAGCATGTTGGCTTAACAAAATATCTGGCTCACTTTACCGCTTGTAATGTACTTATAGATCGGTGGAGCCGCAGAATAATAAACAAGCAGGCATCTGTGGTGTTTCACAACAGAAGGGCTTCATCCAAAGACAAAGCTCAAAAGTCAAAGAACGAAATGTAAAAGGAGTTGTTGACAGAAACAGGAGGATTTTCTAACGACAAAATGAGAAGTAAGCTGTGGAGTCATGCAGAGGAGACACAGAGAAGGTTGGATGAGAGAAATACAATACCGTTAATACGAGGCGACGGAGGAGCATGTTGCGTTGTCTTTAAGTTGTGAGATAAAAAGGTTAAACGAAGGACCGTGGGAGTAGATCTGTGGATGTGTGTTACTGAGTATTTAAACCAGGTGCAGTCACGGACAACACTTTTTACATTAAACAAGCTTTGAGGGTGATCAGTTTTACTACATTAACATTGAGATGCTGGTAGAAAAAAAAAAAAAAGGATCAAATGAGGGCAGCACATGAAAAAAACTATTAATACACCATTCAATATCTGTCTCTTTTTCTGTTACCTTTTTTCTTATTTATGTAAAATAAATTGCTTATTTATTTATTTTTCGAACCGTGGTTTTCTAACTTTATTATCCGATGAAATGAGATGTATTTAGTGATTTCAGCAGGGTGGATTGTTCAGTCAGCTTGTTAAAATAACACAGACCAGGAATGTGTGCCTCATCAGACAATGGCCCGGATGGCCCCCTAGCTGGTTAACATTGTTCTAGTGTCACTGTTGATGTGCTATGTAAAAAGAAGGCATTTTAAATATTTTGTCATCTACCCCATAGTGTACATGCAATCTTTTCTTTTTATGAACTTGTGTTTCTTTTCCACACTAAAACCTTTTTACTAATACAAACAAGTCAAGATATAACAAGCATCCAGCAACACTTCCAATTAGTTTTTTCTTGTCAAATGAATGCACGTCCTCTTTCTGATCCAACTTGTTGTTACACAAAGCTGTTTTATAATACCTGTGATAAGACTCGAGACCAGCAACGGCAGCACCAGCATCTGGAGCATTCTCATCAGCAGCTCTCCAGGAAAGGAGAAGTACTTCACTTCACGGTAAGACAGTTTGTATGGACGCAGAGAAAATCCCAGGATTATGCCTGCAGGGAGATCAGATGTGGAGGAAGAAGTGGTAAATTATGATATTCTACTCAGGACCAGAAAGAGTCGAGCAACAGTGTTCAACCAGAACAAGTCACATGTCTATTTCTATCCAATTAGTCAATTGTTCACTCCACCACAAATATATTGACAGTTCCAGCTGACAGATTGTGAAATCTGACAAACATCCTAAATTTAAATCTGACTTGGTGTATTTCTAGCTGCAGATGTCCCTTGCTTTAGTCGGGTCAGCTTCACCTCCTCCTGGGCAGAAGTCAGGGGTCAGTAGAGAGAATTCAAAGGTCAGGCATGGGGTCAAGGAAAGACTAGTCTGTTAAATCCATCAGCGCTGACTGTGTTAGGTCTTTGGTCCATTATGTGGGGAATTTTTACAAGGAATGATGAGGTCTCACTTGTAATTAATTAAATTGCTCAGAGAGCCCAGAACATAAACCATTCAGTGGTCCAAGAGAAAAGCAATCCCTAGATAATTTATTCCTTACCTGTAATAACAGCAATGATGGTTAGAATGACAAAAGCATTTTTCATGAAGAACCCCTTCACTTCGTCCTTCTTGATGTTCTCCACTCTCTTCTTGGCGAGCAGCGACCTGGACTGGATCCCGGCTCGGATTTGGTGAAGACCACTGCGGCTCCTCTGTGGATTCTCTCCATTGCTTTGAGTCATATTTGTGGCTGGAATCTGTAGAGCTGTTGTTCACAAGCAGGCCTCCGCAGTGACGGAAACACTACAGATGCGCTGATGACTAGGTTCAAGTCCTGTTGCTCCCGAGTGTCACACCTCTCCTTTGGTTAAAGGATTAGTAGTTACCTGCTCAAAACAATGACGTAAATATCAATGAAAATGTCACAATGCGACACAGACAAGAAGTTTTGTTAGATGAAACATGGAGCAAGCACAAAAACAAGTTATCTGTGTTAAATTACAACTTTTCTGACTGCTGTTGTGTCTGACAGAAACAATCTTAAAACCAAGACAGATAGAAATCCGGTGTATAAAAGATGTTTTAACATCCAAGTCAAGACAAAACTGCATTCTGAGTGAAACACCAGCATTCTACTGGCAGCTGTAAAGAATTTGCAAACTTCCTTTTCTGCACACACGTGTACAGTTTGGCTTAGACAGGCAGGTCAATTCAAAAACAGAAGCTCTGCTTCTGAGTTATACAGTAGATGATAAAATATGGACACAGAGGCTATTTTCAATACCTTTAGGTTTGAGCAATAAGGTCCTCTGGAGCAATGTCTGAGTTTTCCAGGGAAAAGGTCGGGTTTAAAGCTTGGATCGGTGTGAGAGGGGTCCTTTGGCTATGAGCAGACTGTGCAGCCAGCAATGAAGAGATATTCAGTGGAGAAAGAGAGGGGTGGGGAAAGGAAAGGAGGGCTCAGCGTCAGGGATGAGGGAACGAAAGAGCCAGTGAGAAAATGGAGGCGGTGCCCTCGCAGAAAAGTGGTAGTCACTGAGTCGCACAGCGTGGGCTTGAGGGGAAATGGAGGGCGGGGAGTAGGCAGCTGAAAAAAATGAAATAAGGTAGAGGAGGGGTGTTTTTCAGGCGGAGGCAAACTTGAGGAATAATGAGCTTTTCAAAAAGAAAAAAGAAAAAAGGACCTTCTTGTGTTCTTCTGTCTCTCTCAGCTGTCCTTTGAAACAGTGGTTTTCTTCATGCTTCATAAGTTCAGCCTGACCAGGGGTCCCTGCAGAGAATGAGTCAACATAGTAAAACAAACCCTATCAAACAAAACGGGGTTGATTAGCAGTGTGTTGTGAAAGTTGAACCATGGGATAGACTGGTATAACCAAGTGGATGGCTCTCAATTAGAAGAAAAATAGAGGCTTTGCAAATATTTTTGCAAGTAAAATCTGGTGTGACTAGGATATGGATTTGGCTGACTGTGATTAGCAAATAAACAGCGTAATTAAGTTCAAAGAACAGGGGATGAAGTTGTAGAGACATTAAACCAAGGTGAGCTTAACTAGATGTAATAATAATGCATACCACCATTTGTAATGTGTAAAAAAAAAAAAAAAAAATTAAAACCATGTAGACTATTGCTTCTGCTTTTATGTTCTAATTAATTTATGTGGGCCTGTCAAATAACACCTAAGTAAGATATACTGACAATTTTATTTGTAACAGATGTGAAAAAGTTCAAAGGGTATGAACTCTTGGAAAGCTCAATGTGTGTATGATGTTGGAACATCTCCGAGAAGTCAGCAAAATGTGGCCTTTCAGTACATTTCCTCTATGCAAAGTCCTGTTGGTGTTTACATAAAAAAAAACATCTGTGTAGAATTTAGTATGGTAAACTAAAAAGAGACAGCAAATATTTGCCAATTGCAAGTGGGGCAACTGGTTAACTAGCTTCTGCCAAGAAAGCAACGTCATTTGTACATCATGCTTCATGGAAGTTTGTAGAAAATTAGCAGAGTGCAGTTACACTTCATGTTATTTAAAACAATGGATGCTTCACTTCCTACAAGAGTATTATGCAATGCATTGGTATTTATTCTGGCAGAAAAATCCACCAAATGTAAAAAGATCAGTTTTAAATAAACAGTGGGTTGTTATGTGCACAATTTTTCACCCGAGTTGTTTTTATTAACTTTGTGTGTTTCGAACATGAGGGAAACCCGCAATATGACACCAACCGTGGATGTATGCGTACTGATTTAAAACAGGATTAATTAAAATTAGAAGATTTTTTTTCCTCTCTCTTTGCTTTGTGTTCGGATCAGATTATTTAGATGCGCTTTAGGAAAAGGAGCTGCACATTATTACAGTGTTTGGTTTGAGTTAGTTTGAGGAAAATTCCAAGTGGAGCTGCAACATGTTTTAAATTATGAAAGAGTCTCCCACTATGATGTAAAAAAAAAAAAACTTTTCAGATACAAATTGTGGTCTCAGAGGCCTTGAAAAGCTCAGGGGAATAATACTTGTGATAAGCAAGACTTTGCTTCTCAATATGTTTTGTAGCAGATAGGCAGACACTTCATACTTAACTTCAATACTTAACTTATATGAACAAGTACAATGAGTTTCAAACTTTCTTTGTCAAGTGTGATTTCCGTAATTCATGTAGAACTATAAGGGTAATTCGACCGTAAGATGGCAAATTTAACCAGCTTCATGTAACAGGGAAATGGTCCCAAAATAATAGGTTAAAAAGATGTTAAGTGTCAAACTTTTTCATTTGATCCTTGGATATAAAGGATCACTTTAACTTAGCTAATTTATCGAAAGGTTCAATGTAGGATAATGAGTAACAGCTCTCATACCTTATGTCAGCATGTCATTGTGGTCATTGTGACTTGCAGATTTAAATTTGTACAATTGGCTGTGTAATGACCAAACATTGACTCTGCCTCTCATGTGAGATTCTGTCTCAGTACATCCCAGAAATCAACAACCAGGCCACTTGAGCAGGTGTCTATCACAAGCCTGGCATTCGATAGACCGATGAAACTAAACAAACAAATATGTGCTCACATACTCACTCGATCAATTTAGAACTGACTGATTTCTGAACGTGAATGTTTCATTTTCTGGAATGTAGAAGAAAGACCTAGTAAACTGGCTTGCAAGTGTTCATATTACAAAACTCACACAAAAATCACACATTTTCAAAAATTTAAAATATAAT